CCCCCTGTGAAGACCATGGTTTCCTACTTCCAGTTGAGTCAAGTCTCAACGTCTAAGCTAGGCAGGCAAAGGGCTTCAGAAATGAGCCCCTCCCCACTGGTATTTCCAAGACTGTTTCTTGATACTCCCTTCTCTACCCTACGCTATACGTCAGAGGTTAGTGAACTACAGCCCATGGGCCAAATTTGCACTTAGGCCTATTTTTGTAAGTAAACTTTTATTGGCACACAGCCATACTCATTTATGTACTGTCTATGGCTGCTTTTGTGTTATAATTACTGAGTTGAGTAATTGTGGAAGAGACCATACATAGCCTCTCAGTTCACAAAGCCTAAAATATTTACTATCTGGCCCTTTACAGAAAAAGTTTGCCAACCCCTGATATAGACCCGTCTTTTTCAGTCTTTTGGCCATGACCCACAATAAATACATTTTACTGTGAGATCTAGCAAACACGTAGATACCTGTGCACATATTTACATATAAATATTTCTCAAAATAACATTTACCTTTCCTAAATTCAATGCATTCTGACAGTTTCTAGCCTATTATATTTTCTTAAAAAGCTGTTCACGACTATACCAACCTCATGACCCCAAATTCGTCTTGATTCATATTTGGAAAATACTTCTCTAGACAAACTGAACAGCTGGCTACTTACAACACATGGCCCCTACTCTCCCACTTCTATTCCCTTCTTGACATTGCTGCCCCCATCTGACAAGGCTCTGTCCTTTCATCTTTATGTGTGCAAATCCTTCCCATTCTTTAAGAACTACCCAAATTCCATCTCTTCCAGGAAGTCTGCTTTGAGCCTCCAGTTCCAAACCACTTTCTCCTTTCCTCATCTCCCACAGCACTTTTTCTATTCCTCTATTGTGGAACTTTAAAGTTTCTGCTTTGTAGAAAACTCACCTGTGCACCTTTCTAACTATGTACCCTAAAGATCTTGAATTTCTTAAGGCTATGGTCTTTTTTGTATTCTACATACCATCCAATACAGTGCCTTGTACTCTGTAAGTACTGAATAAATGTTTATTAAATTGAAGTCAACAAACATTTGTTATTAATGGTATAATATGGTTTATACATATAATATTTTATCCTTTAATTTTAAAGACTATAAATTTATGGCCTATTGTAAGCACTCAACGAATGTTTATAAAGACAGACAGAGAGAGAGAGAGAGAGAGAGACAACCTGGACTTATCAGTTTCCATTCCAGTTGCTAGATTTGTTATTTTAATAACCAGCAGGCAGAATTATTATATACAATATACAATCCTTGATTTTCTGAGTCACAGTCACTGGTTTAGACACACAGAACACCAAAAAGGATACACAGAACACCTATTTTTAAGGCCTCAGCAGAGAAAAAGTATAACAGTTTCAACTATCCCAAGCAGACCTGCCATCCGTAAGTTCTGAGATCAAACACTAGTAATTGAGAGAGCTTGATATGATCTTTTTCCAAGGAGAAAAAGGTGCCTGCTAACCCTTCTGCACCATTAATGCTATTAGCGTCTAGCTGATTTTGGTAAAAGGAGAAAATTTCCCAGGAGAAAATTCCTTCGGGAACCCTGACATAGCCTGAAATGCTGTCATTATGACTAGTTAGAGTGGTTTTATTGCAATCTGTTTAAGCATGACCAAATAAGACTTATTCTTAGGAATTCAAGGATGGTTTGGTATCAGTAAATCAATCATATTTCATTAAATTAACATAATAAAGGAGGAAAAAAGCATTAATATATCACTTGATTCTGAAAGGGCACCTTCCATCAGCCATTTATAATATGATTCCAAGAAATATTAGAATAGGAAAAAAAACTACATAAGCATGATAGGGATTTTACCAATATTAAAAAGAAATCATCAAAATAGATTTCCATTAAAATCATGAACTATCTCAATTGTTATTTAATATTATTTTGAAGATTGCAGCCAGTGCCATAAGAATATGAACTAAAAGATCTAAATATTAGAAAACACAAAAAATCTTTAGTCATAAATTATATGACTGAATACCTAAAAATGTAGACTTTTTAGAAAAGAAAATGTCATAATTAATGATAGAATCTGTTAAGGTGGCTGTGAACCAGAGAAAAGGCATATTAATCAATAGTTTTTCTTTATCTGTTATATGTTTATATGTTATGTAAACAAATTAGAAAGGAAAATGAAGATATTAACATTAAAATCAAAGCTGTTAAAAGCTCTATAGGACATATGACCCAGTTTCTTCAATGAATAAATTAGAAAGAGAAAATGTAGAGGGGAGAAATGCAGATTAAAAGAGACTTAAGAGATATCAACGAGTTATGATGTAAGATCTTTTGGATCCTAATTGTAAAAATTTATCAAGGAGGGGAATGTTGAGAATAGGAGAAATTATTAAGAAATTACTTTTGGAGTTCCACTTCTGCACTTCTGTTTAGGATGTGGAAATCTATAAGAGAATGTCACTCCCATCCCAGTAATAAGAAAAGGCCAGGAAACTACAGCATAACTTTAAAAAACAAAAAAAAAAAGATCTGAGGTCACAGGAAATAAAGTGAATTCCAAAGAGTCTCAAGGCAAGACAGGACACAAACCATCTCACCTTTAGCAGAGCACAGGAGAAAGAGGATGCTTCCACACAAGTGAATAATAAGAAGTCACATAAGAGTTTTAAACATTCTTAAAGGCCAAGTATAGCTTATTATGATAGTTTTAAATTGCTTGGAGTCCCAGATATGAAGGGCACATTCCAAGTTATTTCCCATAGGCTCCACTGGGTACTCACAAGAAAGACTGGAAAAAAGAGAGAGAGAGACTTGGTGGTGCTGACATGCAGGAAATGATCAACTCCTGCCAAGAGATAAGCCTGAAACCCTTCTAGCTCCCTAAACATTTCTTTCATAGGAAACAAAAGCCTTAAGCTCCTGGATGAATGAGCTTCAAACCTTCTCATCCCTAGGATCCAGGCAGAGGTCCACTGCTTCTGAAATAGGGGTTGAAGTAAAAACTCTCTGTCCCTGGGCAAAGAGTAGGAAACCTTGGGCCCAGAATCCTACACCAATACTAAACGGACCTGCTGCCACTAGAAAAGGGTCAAGTACCTAATAATAGAGGTCTATTTTGTCCCACAGACATGCAGTAACTGCTGAAAGCTGTGAATGCAACAGAAACGCTGAAAAATCTCCTCCATCTCCCCATCACCACTTTCAGTACGTAGTAAAAATATCCCACTACCGGAAGAGTTTGAAGTCTGTGATACATTGATATACTAAAGATTATAACAGAAACAATAAAATCCAAACCCAGCTCAACTCCTGACTATATTTAATGTAACTTTGCACACTAATGCCCTGAGAGAAGAAGAGGTATGCCCATTTCTGTGTATAAATATTATTTACCTGAGTCTCTACTGTTCTTATATACATACAGTCCAGCATTCAATGAAAAATTATGACATGAAAAAAATCAAGAAAGAGTAAACAGTTGCTTTATCAAGAGACAAAGCAATCAACAGAACTAGAGTTAGAAAATAACCAGTTATTGGAACTATCAGACAGAAAGTTTACAATAACTACGTTTAATATGTTAAATGATCTAATGGAAAAGATAAACAACAGACACAAACAGATCAGGAATTTCATCAAAGAGATGAAAATTATTTAAAAAGAGTCAAAGAGAAATACTAGAAATAAAAACTACAATATCAGAGATGAAATCCTTCACTGGGCTCAGCAAAAGACTGGACACAGCTCAGGAAAGAATTCATGATATGCCAATAGAGATTATCATGACTGAAACACAAAAAGAATAAAGAGTAAACAAAACCAGATAGTGCATGTAAGGGTTCTGAGACAACACGTGGTCACAAATTATCGAACACTATGTAATCAGAGTCTCAGAGGAGAGGAGAGAATAAGGAAAGAGAGATATTAGAAGAGATAATGGCAGAGAATTTTCTAAAATTAATGAAAAATAACAAACAACAGATCCAAGAATCTCAAAGAACCCTAAGCAGGGTTAAAAAAAATACATGTACCTATACATATTGTTAAACTGTTAAAAACAAAAGATAAAAAGAAAATGTTGAAGCCAGCCAGAGGTGGAAAGCAAGCAAAATTTAAATACAGAGCAATGGTGCTAAGAATTAGAGCCGACTTCTTAGAAACTATGCAAGCCAGAAGACAACGGTGTGACATCTTTAAAATAGTGAAAGAGGAAATTATTTTTTAACATTTTAGGTGTGATAATGGTACTACAGTTATATATATATATATATATATATTACAATTCAAATAAAGCATCTATAAATCTCTTACATTTATAATAAATTTAAAGTTTAGTTTACTGTAATATCAATATCTAAGTAAACAGTGTGATATAGCTCTGAAAAGATCTGATGAGATCCTCAGCTGTAGTGATAGTCGAAAGCTATGGCATATATGTATTGCTTCAAGTAGTGTCTTCTTCTCCAACTCCCCTGACATTGCTTTAGTTCACATCTACATTTCTCCAATGGCCCCTTAGCTTTACTTACGGTACTACAGATATATATATATATATATATATATATATATATATATATATAAAATATTCTTTTTTCTTTTTTTCCCTCAGTACCCCTTACACTTATAAGATTCACACTAAGGATTGCTTCACAATAATCAGAGGGGAGGGCTCCTCTTGTGGATGAAGGTAGAGATAAAGTAAGACTGACCAGGAGTTGATGATGGTTGAAACTATGTGATGAACACATGGGAATTTGATATATTTCCCCTCTCTCTCTCTCTCTCTCTCTCTCTAAAAAGAAGAAGAAATGGGCAGAAGACGTGAAGATGTCATAGCACATATCCCACTAGGTTTCTCTGATTTTTTTTTTTTTTTTTTTTTGCCTCTAACTCTTTCACCAGCCTTTCATTCACAGTGGACTCACAGGTCCCCAAACTAGGGTCACAGAGTTCTGCAGCCACCCTCTCCAGTAACACCAACCCAATAAAGCCTACCAGTGCCAAAGCTCTCTTCTCCACACAGAGAGCACCGGCCTGAGTCCATCAAATTTGAGAAGAATCTCCATCCAGCTGGGGTCTCATACACAGGGACCTTCATTGATTTGGCCACTCTGAAAAATGAAATTCGAGGCAACAGTTAATTCATATTTCTCCTTTCCTTTTTTTTTTTTCCTCAGCACATAAGGAAGTCTTTAAGATCTGTTAATGCCATAACTAGATTTTAGAACATCCTGAACAACGTGGACAGTTTTCAAGATGTCAAGCCATAAGGTAGAGAATGATAAATAGCCTATTCCAATGGTACTCAATTTTGCTTTCCCCATAATATAGAAGATGTTCAGTTAATGTATAGCATATTCTCACATTTATGTTTCACTTCTATATATATTCCTTTATCTTGGTGGTAAGATCCCAGTTGGGGAATCTCAGAATTTAAATTAAGGTGGTATTTGGGTGCAAACACTTTGGAATATTGTTTGACAGTATCTACTAGAGATGAATATACACATATCCTATGAACCAGCAATTCAACTCCTAGAAGTTAATACTAACGATGTAGTAGACACTGTGGTGCACTGCTCAGCTTCACCTCCAACACGCACACACACACACACACACACATTTTAGGACTTTTAGGACTGGAACACTCTACCAGCTTCTAGGAATGTTGATGGCTTCTAGGAATGGTGACAGCTCACGGATGTGGCCCCCACTCTCTGCTAAAGAGAGATGTCTCACTCAAAATCATGCTCCCTTCCTTGGGTCAATCCACATCCAATGCCTGGCAAATGAGAGATGTATAAAGGTCTAGGCTTCTTGCCCCTATTTGGCACAACTCTGTAGGGCCATTTAGCTCCAACTTCTCTGTCTGATCCTCCTTCCTCACTCCCCCATAGGTATTGCTCTTGAAGGAAACTTTGATCTTGATGGCAGAAAGGAATAAAGTTCCTGCAAGCGAATCTCTCTCAGAGCTGCTTCCTGGGGAACCCAGCATGTGACATTACTCAACAGAGTATGTACACATGATTTTTTTTTAAATGATCACAATTGGTAATAACTGAAACAAAAGTCCATCAAAGTAGAAGGGACAAATGATTTGCAATATATAATGCAATAGTATAAATTTCATTGAACAAACTAGTGCTACATGCAACAACTTGAATGAATCTCACAAACATAATATCACGTGAAAGAAACCAGTATCAAAGGAATATACACTATACAGTTCCATTTAGATAAAATTAAAAAACAGCTAAAACTAAGCTCTACTGCCAAAATTCAGGCTCAGAGGACCCAGAAGGTCAAGTATTTTGTTCAAGATCTCACAGAGATAAGAGGCAAAGCTAGATTCTGGACCCAAGTCTGCTTAATTTCTGTCCATGTTCCATTCCACTACACCATGCTGTCTCCCCAAATGTTTTAGTGCTTCAAGATATATACAAACCTCAAAGTTAGCTGGGGAATGAGCTGCTGCCACAGACACTGGCCTGAAGAGTTTCATCAGCCCCACATGGAAGCAACCCAAAGAGAAAAACATCAAATGCCTGCCACCAGCAAGGTTTAGTCCTTTGATGACTGTACGTGCAGAAGGTGACCATGGAGAGGAACCAGTGAGGGTATCTCGGTGAAGAAGAGGAAGAAAAATACACAGAGGACAAAGGACATGATGTAATAGTGATTTCTTTAGGTTTGTTTTGTGGCCACCTAGAGGAAAAAATATCTAGAACTCTTGCCAGAGGAACATAACACTTCTCTTTCCATTGAACCCAAATGTAATTAATGTGCTCACAATCTTGAAAAAACTGTGTGCCGAGTCTCTTTCAAGTTTGCTTTGAGGGACTTCCCTGGTGGCACAGTGGTTAAGAATCCACCTACCAATGCAGGGGACACGGGTTCCATCCCTGGTTCGGGAAGATCCCACATGCCGTGGAGCAACTAAGCCCATATGCCACAACTACTGAGCCTGTGCTCTAGAGCCTGCGAGCCACAACTACTGAGCTCGCGTGCTGCAGCTACTGAAGCCCGCATGCCTAGAGCCCACAGAGCCCACAACAAGAGAAGCCACTGCAATGAGAAGCCCATGCACCGCAACAAAGAGTAGCCCCCACTCGCTGCAACTAGAGAAAGCCTGCGTGCAGCAATGAAGACCCAACGCAGCCAATAAATAAATAAAGGTTCAACTTAAAAAAAAAATGCCTTAAAAAAAAAAGTTTGCTTTGAAAACAAGCACCTTTTGGATGCTTGGGTGTTACATCAAAGGTTCTCTTTTCCTCAGCAGTCTAAGAAAGATATACAATCATGTTTACATCCTGGTAGGAATAATGAAATAAATCCTCTCCAAATTGGAGAGCAAAGGTAAGCTTTCACAGCCATTAATTTATGGTCAGAAGCTCAAGGAAGGAGAAATCATTCACATAGAAGCCTTCTAGGGCAGCGCATAATAAAGCCGGGGTCAAAATTAATTTAGCTAAAATGAATGCATAAGATTACGAAATAGAAATATGCAACATGGGGCAGAGGTGAGGGTAAGAGAGAGGCTAGAGGGTGTGGGGATATATATTCTCTGGCCAAAACATTCTTGTTGGTTCAAAGCCAAGTTGGCAGAACTGAAAGGAGGGGAGAGGATTTCCCCAGCTCCACCCTTCTCAGCTGACCACTGTCAGGAGGTCATCAGGCTGAAGGCTGAGGCTGGATTTTAAAGGACCGGATACTTTTATAACTATGAGCCACATTTGCAGCTGTACAAGCTAAGATAACAATTTGGGTAATTAAATTCCCGGATCCTGAGCATGAGTTGATGTGTCCTAGAGTCAGAAAGGAATGCCCCTCCCTTCTCCCTCTACTGAACTTGGGATCCATCCCAAGCATAACATTCAGTAGATACCAGGCTCTAGACTGGTTTTTGGCAGGAGGCCCCAGTGGAGTCTCTGATACAAAAGGTAAAAATGAAGCTGCTCATGCTGAGGGTCTGCACTCCTGTCCTTGACTACCACCACCATGTGTCAGAGACAAACAAAACTCACTTTCTAGGAAAGACCAGCATATGAAGGAAAAGAAAGAAAATGAATCTGGGCCACAATTTTCCTGCAAATGGGAGTGAGCCTTGGTAGCCAAAACAAAACAAAACAAAACAAACCATGGTGGGCTTCCCTGGTGGCGCAGTGGTTGGGAGTCCACCTGCCGATGCAGGGGACACGGGTTCGTGCTCCGGTCCGGGAGGATCCCGCATGCTGCGGAGCGGCTGGGCCCGTGAGCCACGGCCGCTGAGCCTGCGCGTCCGGAGCCTGTGCTCCGCAACGGGAGAGGCCGCAACAGTGAGAGGCCCGTGTACCGCAAAAAAACAAAAAACAACAACAACAAAAAAACATGGTGGATATAAGCTTCTTAGTGCGGATTTTAAAACCTCTAAAAATGTGGCTTCAGGTTGGAAAGAGCCTCAACCTATTTTGCCAATACTTTCTCCCATGATACTCCCCATATGCTGCTAAAAACTGAACCATCTCTTATTTTCTAAATATGCTCTTGCATTTTTGTTGTTGCTTTTTACGAGTCCTTCTTTATGCTTTTCATATTACCTGGATTAATCCTCCTTTCCAATCTCTCTCAAAATACTTCACTCTGCTTCAAAACCTATCTTAAATGCCCTGCCATCATGAATCCTGTGGCAAAGGCTGCTAGTGGTCAACAAAAGTATCTTTTCCTGGACACACAGCTGGACTACACTTCCCAACCTCCCATGAGGTTCACTGTGGCCACATGCTGAGTTCTACCCAACAGAACCCCAGTGGAGACAATGCACACGCTTTTCAAATCTGGTTATTAAAATTTCCCATCCTCCATGTTCTTTCTCCTTCTGCCAGTCTAATGTGGACAAGCCCGGCAATCCTAGAAGCCACATGCTGAAGATGGTGGACCTACAAGTTGGAAGGATGTGGATCTCTGAATCACCATTTGGAGCAGAATTAGTCACCAATCAGGAACACTTGTTTTTAACTTCTAATGACTGAGAAATAAGCTCTTGCCATGTCTGAGCCATTGTACACTTTGGGATTAGTTCTGTAGCACCAGCTCCATTATCGGAACAAATACAATTCTTTTTTCATTGCCGCTATCAATCCAAAGTAACCCTTCCTGCCCTAGGCTTCCTCTCTTGGTAGGGGGTTTTTATGTTCACATTGTCATTGTATATGTTGTTACCTTCTTAACACTCTCCCTCCACACACAGATACCACCACTACAACCACCAGTGTGTTAGTTCTTTGAGGGCAGGGGCTGCATCTTATATACCATTATAGCTCTTCAATGTCTAGGATAACATAATACCTTGTCAGACTTGCCCTCAATAAATTCTGCATGATTTCAGTTGACTAATATCTATTATTTAAGGAGTATTGTTGAATAGCAAGGGGGAAAAGTATCTCTATTTTATGGTCTTTTCTCATTGTAGGTTCCTTATATTATATTAAGAAATAATTAAGTAATTTCTGCATGTTTTATTTAAATTAGTCATTTTGAGCAAAGAGAATTTCTCCAGGTATTAATTGGTGGGGCTAGCAGGATAAGACAAAGGCATTTCTTGAAAATAAAGATGTTACAGAATTAGGGCAGTGAATATATGAGAGTCAAAAGTCTGAGAAGCAGAAGGACAAATTATTTCTATTTTACCAGTCTGGTGGTCGCCTTACCCTCATGTGCTCAAACAAGATAACAGATACAAAAGCATCCTGAAAGATCCCTAAAAGCTCACTACATGTAGAGGTGCTAGCACACCCACCTTTGCACCTCCCGCATCCAGCGCCGTGCATGCCCACAGTAGGTATTAAAATATATATTAACTTAATTATACAGTACTACGTCATTGTATGTGACAATATTCTACTGGAATACCAACGGTTACTAATGACTCTCTTTTAACCTTGTGAGAGAACAGCCAAATAAAAAAATGACTAATTATAACAAGTACATGAGGCAGCATCAGCTACTCTTGGAATTCTACTTTAAGAAAGTTCCAATAGATTTTAAAAGGACAAGATCCAGGTCGCTCTTCCTTCAATTTATCTTCGAACATCCACTTTCTTAAGAGCTGAGCACACCTCTTGGTTCTATTTTC